TTGGAAGAGGAGGCAATGCTCTTAACCACTGAGCCATCTCTCCAGCCCATCCAAAATCTTTTGTTGGCAGAGCAGTAAACTTTGCTTTATGTTGGAATTATGGTATGAAGGAAAGAGTAGTTTTGTAGATATATTTGGAGAACTTGTAAATATGAAGGCATTGTAAATGATAATCCTGATTGAGGATTTTGAAATAAAAAAATGGAAAATGTGATACAAAGAAAAGGAAAAATTATTTAAAAGATAGTTCATCTTGACAGATTGTGTGTATCCTGGGTCAGTACTCTGCCTTCTCTTCTTTTATTTTCTTTCTCTTTTCTTTTTTTTCTTTTTTGGTTTTTGGTTTTTTGAGACAGGGTTTCTTTGTGTAGCTCTAACCGCCCTGGAACTCACTCTGTAGACCAGGCTGACCTTGAACTCACAAAGATCCGCCTGCCTCTGCCTGTCTGAGTGCTGGGATTAAAGGCGTGCGCCACCACCTGGCTTGACCCTACTTCTTTGTGCATCCTCTGAAGTATTGTACTGCTAAGAGAACCCCGTAGATCCTGTGGGTTTGTGCATCCTCTGAAGTATTGTACCGCTAAGAGGACACCGTAGATCCTGTGGGTTTGGTGTTCATTTTTGTGTGGGAAGAATTAGTTTACTGTATTTTTACCCTTGATCTGCTCTTTGAGGGCATGGCTCTTTTTTTTTCTCAATATTTTCTGATTTCTAAACTATTCACTGTTGTTTCTGTATTTTCAGCTAGATCTCAGAAATATATGGAGTTACTATGCTAGTGAATCCTGTCTCATTACTTGGTTAAGATTTCTTACCCAGGGCATGTTATCTTTGATGGCTATTTTGCAGCTCGGTTTGATTTAACCAACTTTTATGAAGATTTGCTCTGTGACAGTCTCTGTATTAGCCATTCTGGTTATAGAGGTGAACATATTAGTTATTAGATTTACAGTGTAATGTTTTGTGAACTCCCGTCAGTCTTTGACAATGAAATCCACCAAATGAGCTGGACCTGTAAATTTTGTAATAGTTGAACCTATATATACTAATCCAAGGATTAGCAGTGACTAATCCAAGGAATTAAGAACAAATGTTTTACGAGCTGGAAGATTTCTAACTGTTCTTTAAAAAAAAAGTAATGAAAGAACAGTTTTCATGGATTTGAAAATCAGACACATAATGAAGAAGTTCCTAGCAAGTTGGGTGATTAATTGTGGCCAGAAAGTCCTTGGATAAATTATAGTGGCAGTGGGAGTTGGGTAAGTTATGGTGGGAGTTACTTTTGGATGTGGTGTAGTATAGGTTGCAACATAGTTTCCCCATTTGCACCATGTTGTTTGTTAACCCACGTCACTCATAATACACATTGATGTGCATCAACTGATGTGTTGTGGATGATTCTGAATGGATTAAAAATAAAAGTTATGTATATTTTAAAAAATAACTCCACATTTCTACATTTCTTTTAAAATATAACAATTCACAGCATTCTCACTAATTAGAAATTTCAAGAGAACAGCCTTTTATTTATTTTGTTTTCTCAAACAACTCCCAGAGATTCAATGACCTTTGAGGAAATTAATTAATACCTTTTAAATTTTGTCTCTGATTCATGGTGAAGGAGGACTTTTCTCTCTTTTTGAAATAAAAACTAAAGTACATTTAATGTGGTATGCCATAATAGCATCTACCTCTTTTCTGAGCTTTATTTGTGTAGTTAGTAAATGAGTAGGTGTGGAGATTTTCTCTGGAATTTCTGAAACCAAGTCTTTCCTTTGAAATCCAAGAGAAGGGCTGGACAAATGCCTCCGAGGTTAAGAGGACTGTTCTTTCCGAGGACTCGGGTCTAAATCCCAGCACCCACAGTGCAGCTAATAATTATCTGTAACTCCAGGATCTGACACCCTCACACAGACATACATGCAGGCAAAACACCAATGCACATAAAATAAAAATAAATAAATAATTAAAAAAAAAAAGAACTCCAAGAGGAGTTGGCATAGTAGCACACATCTTTAATCCCAGCACTTGGGAGGCAGAGGCAAAGAGGATCTCTGAGTTTGAAGCCAGTCTTGTCTACATCATGAGTTTCGGGATAGCCAGAGCTGTCTCAAAAAACAAACAGAAAAAAACAAAGAAATAAAAATGAAGTCCAAGAAAACCTAGAAATCATTTCCAGAGTTTTTTGCCTTTGAATTAGTGTTCACAGAGGAGAAAGTTAAGGTCTAAGGTTGTCTTTGTGTGTGTGTGTGTGTGTGTGTGTGTGAGAGAGAGAGAGAGAGAGAGAGAGAGAGAGAGAGAAAGAGAGATCGCGCGCACAAGGTCTAAATGCAGTTTTTCAGTAAATTGATTTTATAAAGTTTTGAGAGTCCTGGCTTTGATTATAAAGTCGAGAAGCTATTTTTTTTTTTTTTAAGTTAACAAGCCATTGGCTACCTCGTGTTTGTCAGAAATATCCTTGCGGACTTATACTGAGCAAATAATTGTAGATTATGGTGTAAAGTGAATCCCATATCATCTGTGTTGCACAGTTCCACTCTCAGTGTGTGACATCAGCATTCATGCACGGGCACTGCCATTCCACCCTCAGTTGGTACATGTCAGCATTCACTAACAGGCACTGCTCTTAGACTCCCAGTGTGTACATACAGCATTTGCACAGAGATGCTACCATGATAGCATTCCATTCTCAGTACATAGCAGCATCCACATGCAGGCACTACCTGCACTGTTTATTTTTAGAAACGACAGGCAGTGTTCTAGCTATACATAATCCTCTATTTTTCTGCTCATTGATATTTTTATTTATCCTGCTATACACATAACTCCTCCAGTTCTTTAAATATTTATAATGTATGTATATAATTTTCCTGTCATTTCAAGTCAAAATTAACTTTTTTAAAATTATGCAGTAGCACTATACTCAGTGATTACCTGTTTCTGCCGCTTGTGTAGCTGGGGACTAGGGAGGTATTCAGACCTCATTTTCTAGTCGCGAGTAAAGTGCAGGTAGATGAGTTAGTAAAGAGAAAACACTGAGGATAAAAAGATGTGATAGTACATGACTGTATCTCAGTGCTTAGAGGCTAAGGCGTCTCAGGGCCTTGTTTTAAAAAAAGAAAACAAAAATGAACAGCAGATCATTGGACATACGGTCTGCTGTATTTACTTAGGATTATTTAGATAATTAGAAACTTGAGTTTTATAACTGTAGAGAAGAGCTACTTGGAAATCACTATGTTTCCTAATACTTATATACCTGAATTAAATTCCACATTAGCTGGGAGTGGTGCTGTCTATTCGAATGTGTGATGTTTGGTTTACCTTAGTCACACTTTTATCCTCAGCATTCAGCACAGTGCCAACCACCAACATTACCCAGGTAATGGATAAAAGACTCACCTTGGTCAGTGAAAGGGAGAAGTCCTAGGATAATGGATCATGGGATAAAAGTTGTTTTACTATAAGTGATAAATTTGCTCTTTTTGATAATTTTATTCCTTAACAAAGCTTTTTTTTCAGAGGTTTTCGAAATATTGTTATTGTTTTTTCTTAGTTAAAGATGCAGGCATATAGCTCAGAGGCAACATTTTTATATAGTAGGGAGTGCGATCCCCAATATTGTAAAAAGGGAGGAAAGGAGAGGGAAAATACATAGAATATTTAAACCTAGTGCTTTGGATTCAGAAGGCTCTTGGGAAGAGGGTAGAGAAATGTTACAATGAAAGAGGGTCTAGATCCTGGGTGTTGCAAACCCTTGAAGCAGGGGGATGCAGATATCCTGCATATTAGATATTTACATTATGATTTCATAACAACATTATGAAGTAGCAACAAAAACAGTGTTATGGTTGGCGATCACCACAATATGAGGCACTGTAGTAAAAGGCTGCAGCACTAGGAAGGTTCAGAACCCCTGGTCTACATGTTGTCCCACTTCAATTTGCCCCTCCATCCTGTCTCAAGTCTTTTGATCCTTCCCTTCTCTGTGCTTGTTCTCCCTTTAAAGAATTTGTTTGTGAGTGATCTGCTGCTGCTGTTGCTGTGTTTTGGGGCTGGAACAAAGTGAGAACTGTAGCTTGTACCCTTGGGTTGGACTTAGAGAAACTTCTGCTGTTCAGGCTGTGTGACTGGAAGATTCTGTTTCCTATGGCCAGGGCTCAAGCTGCCCTTGCCTTGACATTATTCTAGGTACTTTTAAATTAAAAAGTTACTTTGAAAATCTAATTGTCGTTTATAATCTTTATTTATTTTACTGATTTATTTTATGTACATTGTTGTTTGCCTGCATGTATGTCTGTGTGAGGGTGTAAGATTCCCTGGAACTGAAGTTACAGACAGTTGTGAGCTGTCATGTGGGTGCTAAGAATTGAACTCAGGTCCTCTGAAAGGACAGCCAGTGCTCTTTACCACCGAGGCATTTCCACCCTCCTTTGTTTATAATCTTTATGTCATCTATAATATATTTATTTTAGTTACTTTAAATTAGATGATGAGAGACTAGGCTTTATTGAAACAATAATATTGAATAAGTTTGAGAAATTCTTTGTCAGCCTTTATTATAGTGAGTCTTGACTTGTCTAAGGTTATGAGTCTATTTTAATGATAAAGGAAGCCTAAACTCCTGAAAAATAAGTAAAAAATGGACATGAGGAACACAAGTTTAAATGAGGGTTTAATACATTATTATTATTATTATTAAATGTATTAAACCCTCATTTACTTCTCATATCATGATGACACTTGAGATTTATTTCCTTTTAAGTAATCTTCACTATAGGCACAAAGGATGTTAGGATAGTTGCTTGGCATCATTTTATTAACTATTTGTTAACTATTTGTATTAAACACTTGGGACTCTTAAACCTCCAACTGTGGCCGCTGCTGCATTGGCAACGTACGTGTAAGGTGTTTGAAGTCACAGTGTAGAGAGTTGGGCACTAAGTGGGACTTCAGTTGGTTTTTGAGAAAATGGTAACTGCTGCTTGCTTTCCCCACAGTTCTCATGGCAAAGATGCCTCTCCTGGTCCTCTGATTGATGTTACAAACATCTCTACTCCACGCAAATTCCTTGATGCCACTCAATATTCTACTGCTGGCAGCTCAAGTGGTAAGTTATTATTATGTGCTACAGTCTTAGTCTACTAGAAAGCCTAGGCAGAGACCTTTGGAAGCCTGTGATATGCCTGCCCTTCAGGACCTTCATGGTAAATAGATATCAAACCATTGGCTGAACCTGTTGCATTATAGAGGGTGAAAACTGGCAGCTAACTGACCTGCCTGCAGATTCCAGCTCTCAGTGTGTTTTATTTCAGTGGTAATGTTCAGTTTTCTTGCAATTGAATGCTCTTTGGTAAAAGGTGTGCTTTTCTGTTTGGTTAAAATCTCTATTGCTCCTGTTGATATCAGCTGGTAGAAAAATAGAAATGAGACCAAGTCGTATATTATGAATAAGACAGACAAGCTTCCTTTAAAGTTGAATTCAGTCTGACCAACATGAGTCAAAGAGAAGTAAATTGGATCAGAGGTGATCAGGCTACTTGCTTGAACAAAGGAAGCATCAGGCTTTTTGTTGAGTTTTCAAGGATAGAATAAAGTTTGGTAATTGTCCACTTGTACATGTCCGTGGTCACAGTTTCAAAGATGTTTCCTTTCTGGTACACAAGCAGACTTTGAGGTTTTGCAGACTCACAGATAGTTATTTAATCCACTGCTCAGCCCTCCTTCTGTTGCTAACTATTTTCTTTTGTTTTTGTTGTGTCTTTATTTTAGGCAGGTTTTTTGTGTGTAGTCCAAGCTGGACTCAAATTTAGAATCCTTCTATATTAGCTTCCCACGGGCGGCTGTTTAAGTATGTGCTACTGTGCCTGGTGATGGTGCTGACTTGCACAGACATCAGGCTTTATGGTAAGGCTGAAGGATGTTAAGTGCATGAAAGTCAGGTTAAACACACACTAGCTTCAAAAGCTCATAGGTCAAATAACGTGAAATGTAGTCTTGGGAAATCGCATCAAATATTCCACATGTTCACATACAGAACTGAGCAGAGTGTGGTTCCTAGATTGAGGCAGCAAGAGGGAAAGCATGATATGGAGGTGGAGATGCCATACGGTAGGCTGTAGTCAGTCATCGTAGCCTTCAAGTTTCTGCAGAGTAACCTCTAACCCACATGCTGGAATTTTTAGCCATTAGAGGGTTTAGTCTCTTTGATGGTAGCCTCTCCCACCATTGCCATCTGCGTCCATTTTGAACCCCACTAACTTTAGCTTGACTTCTGTGCAGGGGCCGCTCATGCTTACTTGTGTAAGCCTTCTGTTCTTGTGGCCTAATCTGATGTTTTGTGACAAAAATACTGAATGTATGTTTTTAACAAGTATCAAGTTAGGGGCTCAATGTTTGTTTTCCATTTTGTCCCTTGAGGTGGCTCCTGTCTGCCTCCCTATGGGATTTTACTCCATTGTTTGATGTGTTTCATTTAATCCCTAGTTCTCAAGAGCTTTTTGACTGTACGACTCCTGCCTTGTGGCCTGGCTCCTTCTGCATCTTCCACTGGCTTCACAATTTCCAAATGCACCTATGCCTGTGTGCATAGACTTAGCACATCTGGAGGAAGTATCCACTAAGTAATTTTTTTTTTGAACAGCCTAGTATTCTTTGAATAAGATGAAAGTGTATCAGTACCATTTAATTGTCTGTTTAAGATTAGCTGTGGGAAGACTTACTTTGATTCTGAATATAAAGTTTTATGGAATTCTTCTGGAATGGCTCAAACTTGACCCTTTTGCAGAGTTCAGCTGGGTCACAGAGTCTTGGGGTCACTCACTGCACAGCTTTTCTGTGCATTCATACCTTTGGGCTGGGTAGAAGAGGAGTGGATGCTTTCTGTGGACTTTGCAGGTACCTTCAGGTGGCAGCCAAAGTCCTTAAAGTCTTTAAAAGATAGTGACGCTTCTTATTACCTTCGGATAAACATTAGTTTAGTTCATTGTTGTTGAGGATTAAGCTTAGGGCCTGCCCCATGCCAGAGAAGCACTCCATTGATATCCCCACCACTCCTTTTTATCTCTCTCTCTCTCTCTCTCTCTCTCTCTCTCTCTCTCCTTCCCTCCCTCCCTCCCTCCCTCCCTCCCTTTTTCTTTCTTTCTTTTTCTTTTTTTTTTTTGAGACAGGGTTTCTCAGTAGCTATGGAGCCAGTCATGGAACTCACGGAGATCTGCTTGCCTCTGCCTCTCAAGTGCTGCGATTAGAGGTGTGCGCCACCACTGCCCGGTTTACTTTTTATTTCTGAGACAAGGACTTGCTAAGTCGGATAGACAGACCTTGAACTCATTCTGCAGTCCAGACTGCTCTTCTGTACCTTTTGTCTCATTGTCCTCTTTCCCCCAAGTAACTGGGATTAAAGGTTTTTGCCTCTAGTTCTAGTAAAAAAAAAATAAGAATTAAGCATTCTTATTAGCTATAGCACTGAGCTGTATAACACTTTGAAATAATGTAAAAGAAGAAAGACTAAAAATAATTGGGATTCCACTAATCATTTTATATAACTAATTGGAAGTTACTTACTAGGACATGCTTTACTGAGAACAATCTCTTTAAGTTAGAGTTATTTAGATTTGTAATCTTGATGTTTGTTGTTTTTGCCATAGAACACCATAACAAACTACTTTGTTTTTTTTCTTTTGTTAGTTCATTTAGTTTGCAATTCTTCCTAAATTTCATACACTAGTTGTTATGGTTACACTGCACAGAGGTGTGCACCCAGTCCTCTTCATACAGTTTGAAAGGCTTTTTCCTGTTGTCATTCTGATACAATGGTTCTTTTCTTTGAGCTTTTGGTACTTCTGTGAGGGATTGTAGAGTCCAGAGTATAAAATAAAATATACACGTTTAATTTTGGTTCATATTTTACTTACCTTCTTTGGAAACTGCCAATTATTATATCTTTATAATTTTTAAGTAAATCATCCTGCTTAGCCTGGTTATATTAATTTATGTCAATGTTTCTGAGTCATTGTCCAATTGAAATAAAAATTTTAATTATTTATAAATAAATTATAGGTCAGCTTTGTAAAATAAAAGTGCTATATACATTTCAAATAAGCTGAAAGTGCTCATTATAGCATGTTACATTTATTATTTTTAATAAGACTACTTTTACTCTCTGATGGACACTATATTCTGTCAGGTCCTGGAATTAACAGTGTCATTCATGTTCCCACAGTGACTTTTGTTGTTATTAGAAAACTCTGGAAGAATCTCTTGCTAGCTTAAGTGTAGCCAGGACCATTGTGGAGACCACATTTAGAGATGTGTACAAGTCTTTCTTTTTAGAAGGGTTTATTTCCTGGACTGTTTTGGATGCTGTTGATCTTATGATTTTCCTGGGTGTGAATGAAAAGGAAGGTAAAGTTATAATATTGATTCTTATTAGTAGTTGTCAAAGCTAGGAAGTGTTTGTTGCCTCCTAGGTGGGAAGCAATGTTTGAAGTGTTTTGTTTGAATTAACTAAGATGAGTATCATGAGAAGCTTCATTTACATACAGAAAAATTGAGGCACAGAAAGGTTAATAATCAGCTTTAATTTGCCCAGCTGATTAAGAAGTATCTGAATTTGATTCTGGAGCTAAGTTCTAGAATGTGTTTTTTAAATCAGTTTGCTATTGTTGCAGATGAATAAGCTCTGTATTGTGTGCTTGTTTTCTGTTTATTAACATAGTTTACCCAAAACAAATTTATTAATTATCTTAAAATTTTCTAGGTTAGAAATCTAAAATGAGGGCTGGAGGGATGGCTCGGAGGTTAAGAGCACTGACTGCTCTTCCAGAGGTCCTGAGTTCAATTCCCAGCAACCACATGGTGGCTCACAACCATCTGTAATGAGGTCTGATGCCCTCTTCTGGCTTGCAGGCATACACACAGACAGAATATTGTAAACATAATAAATAAACAAATATTTTTAAAAAAGAAATCTAAAATGAGGAGATAATAATATTGCTCAGCAGGTAAAGTGTGTACCGTAGAAGCATGAAGTTCTGAGTTTGGATCCTGAACATCCGTCTAAAAACTAGGTGCAGTAGCTGGGTATGCTAGTGCACACCTTTAATCCCAGAACTCAGGAGGCAGAGGCAGGTGACTCTCTGTGAGTTCCAGGACAGCCAGGGCTGCACAGAGAAACCCTGTTTTGAAAAACCAAAAACAGATGAATGAATGAATAAATAAATAAATAAATAAATAAACAAACAAATAACAAATAAAAGCTGGGTACTGCAGTGTGTGCCTATATTTCCAGAGTGGGAGGAAGGGGGTATGGAGCCAGTTAGATGGTTTGGGCCTACTGGCTAGCAAGTCCAACCAAAAAATAGCAAGCTCCAGATTTAGTGAGACTCTGCCTAAAAAAAAATTAGGGTGGCAACTCATAGATGACATGTGATGTTGGACTCTACCTTCTGTATGTGCACGCGCTCTCTCTCTCTCTCTCTCTAACGAAGTTGGCTCTCATGGTAAATCCCAGCGCTCAGGAGGTAGAAGCAGGAGGATCAGGAGTTTAAGATCAGCCCCAGTACATAGACAGTTCGTGGCCAGCCCTGGGAAAAACAAAATATAACACATGTCTCATTGGGACCAAATGAAAGTATTTGCAGGGCTATGCCTCTTATTGAAGGTTCTGGGAACTCTCTTTCCTGTCCTTTATCAGCTTCTAGAGACTGTCACCCTATGTGGCCTCTTTCTTGTTGCTGAGCCCAAACATTATATTTCTCTGACCCACATGTCTGCCTTCTTCCTTCATTTTTAAGAACTTCTGTGATAGGTCTTGCCCAGCTGGGTACTTCAGGCTAATCTTGATATCTCGAAGTCTTTAACTTTTATGATATCTGTCTGAGAGTCTACTTTACCATGTAAGGCAACCTGTTCACAGGCCTTGTGGCTTAGGCATGGATATTTTGGGGAATCCTTCATTCTACTTACCATACTTTATAGAGCTGGTTTTTCTGTCTTAAGTTATCTTTAGAAGCCAATTGTGAAAAATTTGATGTTTTTGGAATTATATGGTGAAATATTTTTAGGTCATTGTCATTCTAGTCTTTAGGACTCTATTAATCTGAATCATAT